TCGCCTCCTTGATGACCTCTTGGCGCCCAATGCCCGCAGCCGGGTCCCTCATCAACTGGTGGAGCGCGGGCACCCGCATTGGCATGCTAAAGAAGCGCAGATCAGGCAGGATATCATACAGCGCATCAATCGGAGTCACGCGCGCCGATGGGGGAGCTTGCTCGACCTGTATCAAGTCCCCCGTGATCAGATTCCGGCCTGAAGCCGTATGAGGAATCCCGTTCAGTGAGGCTAAATAGCCCCTGCGCCGGTGCGCCTCAGAGATCAGGTGTCCTGCCACCACATCGCAGTCGACTGACATTTCTTGGAGCAAGGAGCCATCAAGGGAGTAGTCTTGGAGAATATGGCAGATTTCTCCAATGTCCGAGGCTGGGTACACCAAAAATATTACAATCCGGTTAGCAGGCTGGGCAGCTTGCCGCGGCGCGGCAGAGGCTAGCGACACGACAGGTCGATGTGGCACTCGGCCTTGCAACCCCAGTATGAACAGGAGCTCGCAGAGGGACTGCCGCACACTGGCCAGTCGGATGGGCTGCGGGGCCAGCCGGATAACAGTTCCACCACCTGCCAGTACAAAGGAGACGGTCTCCGTGGGGTTAGAGGCTTGTGTTGTGGTGAGCACCGCCGTACTGGTCAGGGTGGTAGGCCTGCCAAGAGTGATGAGCCACCCAAGCTGTTGTTGCAGTCGCGGCTCAAGGACCACTTTGAGCCACTGCACTTCACTGAGATCCATGGGCAATGTCTCCCATATCCGGCCAGTGGGGTCCTGCAAGAAAACACCGTCAAGTTGCAAAGCCTGCTCAAGGAGCTGCGCAGTGGACGGCGCAGCCTTGGCCAGAGCCTCGAGAACCCTTTGAAAGTCTAGGCCCGGCGATAAGGGTAGCGCACACAGTGGCCCGCCAATGGCACGAGCATCAAGAGGAAGCACAAGGACCCCCGGGGGTAGGCCAATCGGGGTAATCGTGAGCTGGGGCTCAGGGAGGTCAGCAATGGGCAGAGTCAGGACCTGCACACTCTGAGTCTCTTCGCTTGCTGAGCTGGTCGCATCAACGATGTAGTCCAGGAGGGACCAGTGAACGGAGGCCTTCCGAACAGCATGGTGTCGATTCCTGTCGAAGACACTATATCGCCGGAGCTCATTGTGGTGCGCAGGAGCTTGACAGAAAAGGCATAGCTGACCCGCCGGGATTTCTCGTAGGTTCGGGGCAGCAAGTCTCTCGGGAAGTATTGTAGGCACCTTGGTGGTGGAATGTACAACACTGGCCCGAGGAGGGCCCTCCGTCCTCAAAAGGGTGGGTGGATCCCCGGCAGGGAAAGCAACCAGGCAGGAGTCACTTCCCCACACTGCAGACAGTGCTGAAACTTGTCGGTCTGCGTCGCGGACATAGTTGACCTGACACCTTGCTGCGTCGGTAGGCCGTTGGCTGGAATCGACGCGCGGCTCAAGTGACGTAATGGGGGCTTTGTGCTGCACAAGGGGCAGGCGCAGAGAGAGGCTGGTTTGCATGAGTGCTGTGTCGTCATCCTCAGCAACCTCATCTCCGACACCGGGCGCATGCGGCACCACAGCCAGCGGGGCGCGTCCCTGTATGTAGTCAGGTCCAAGAACTTGGTAAGGGACCGCCACAAAATTGCGTCCGTCCGGCAGATGCAGGCGGAAGGGCCCCTGCGGCCGGCGATGCTCTGGGCATGTGTTCATCACTTCCAGTGAGACCTCGTTGGCAGTGCTGCCAGCCAGCAAGTTCAGGGTGCACACCCGTCCGCCCACAGATCTCAGGTCTATGGGCGTGGCGTGAGCCTGTTCCGATGCCTCCCTAGTCGTTGCCACCAATTGCACCGCCGGGAACCCGGCCACACGCTCGAGGAGGACCCGCAGGCTACGTAGGCCAGGGACTAGGCTATAAACCTCAGCGACCAACGCCCCCAACGTCATTCCTCGGCGCATCTGGCGGACCTCAACGTGCGCCGATGTGGTGAACAATGCAAAGCGGTCCTGCTGAGGCGTCTCACAAGTACCCCCACTAATTCTATACCCGGAGAACCACCAGAATTGAGAGACCTGCATCTCGCGAAGTTCGGGGCGGTCAAGCTCCTCCGGGTATAGGCTGACCTGTGCCGAGAGCCGGAGTCGCAGGTCAGTAAGGCCCGAGGTGGCAGGTCGGCTCGTGCCAGCGGCAGGGCGCACAGTGCCCTCACATACAGCGGGCGAGGGCTGGGCAGCAAGAGGGCAGGATGCGGTGCAGGCAACAGGCCGCACACGCTGCGACAGGGCATCAAGGATGACAGGCCTGCGGCTACCTGTGGTTGGAGGCAGTGCTCGCGTCACCAAAGGAGATGTGCAGCTGGATCGGGTGAGGACGCCTGTGCAAACGGCCTACCAAACCTGGCCCACTCGTACCTGAGGTGGGGCATTGCACGCCTCGACAGAAATTCTCATCAGTGGCATTGGCAAAGTGACGTTCGGAGCTCGGAGAGCCTTGCCTGTCAGGCAGCAAACAGCCTACAAAAGTGTCTGTACAAGACTTCTGTACAATGTGATCGCTCAGTAGGGCTTGAAGCTGACGACGCCATATGTTACTGTACTGATCCCAGTAAGAGAGCTACTGTCGAAATGAGGCCGGCTCAAAGTTGGGATATAAGTTCCATCCTTGATGGCGAGGGAGCTGTGTGGCACGGTATTGGAACCCTTGTGTGCCGAGTTTGCACCTCGGAGAATCCCTCTGACAGCTTCAGCTACAACTGCAGTTCCGCATCCCAAGCGCCCTGCAGGAGACTTGAAGGCCAGTGGAAATTCCCCGGAAAGCAAGCCATTGTCTACATTCTCTTTTTGTCCATTGGCAACTGTATATACTTCGTATGCAGTGTGCCAGCCCCCATCCGAGCAGGCGACCGAATCCCCATCGCCTCGCTCATCAACCAGCTCGAAGACATCCTCGAGGAAGGGCATGCCCAAGTCTCCGAGTGCAACCTCAGCACTCAGATTGATCGCCAGGACAGGAGCCCACCATCGACTCACATAGGCAGCATCGTCTACAACAGATGTGTATGCGCACACCTGGCTCAAGATCGGCCCGATAGCTTCTCGCAAGCAATCTACCGGGCCCCACGAGGGGGCTGCTGCTGATCTGCTCCTTTGGTCTTGTCGTCGGCTCCCCCTTTGGGGGCCGCGGCATCCTTGATGTCCTCCGACTTTTCCTCGCCGGAAGCTTTGTTGCTGCGCCTGCGGGGAGTCCTCTCTCGGTACTCCTCCTCGTGCGCTGCTGCTGCCGCAGTGGCTTGTTTGAGGGCGTCCATGAGTGCCAGCTCCTGTCGTTGGCTGGTCTCGGTGGCCTTGGCTCGCTGAGCCTCGGCCGCTGCGGCTTCGGCCACCATGGCCTCCTGCTCGTCGATCGCATCCATGTCGTCCTCTGAAGAGACATCTACTGGCTCTATCCCGGTGCCAGACTGGCGCTTGATCTCCCGAGACGAGCTCAGCAGCTGCTGTAGCCACTTTTCCTCCGTCTCGGCCAATGTAGCCAATGCGAGGTTCTTGCGATCCAACTGCTCTTGCAGCAGCGTGGTGAGCTTCTGAAGATAGGCAGTCCACTCGGTGACGAATGCACTGCGCGCCCTCTTGACCTCGCTCAGCTCCTTCTTGGCCTGAGATTGCAAACTGACCAATTTGTGCAGCTGCTTGGTCGTCTGACGATGATCGTCGAGTTCTTGACCCTCTAGCAGCTGTCTTATTTCCGGCGGGAGGTCCTCCTTGGAAGCCGACAAAGCGTTCATCAAGGCTGACACGGCCGGGGGCAGCTTCGTCGCCGCATCCAGGGCCGTCGAACCAGCCGGGGTATTGGGCTTCGGCACTGCTGGCGGCACGGGCATCTCCTTCAGGAGCTGCTCCTGACTCGCCTTGGGGAGTCCAGCCGTCGACTCTGCTTGCTGTAGGGCTTGGCCATCCGAGTCCTTGCCTTTGCCCTTGGGCCGTCTGCGGGGTGAGCGGGGGGTCTTGGCCCCCTGCCGTCCATCGCCTGGTCTCGCCGGTCGCCTGGGCGACTTGCCACCTTTGCCAGAATCTGGGCCTTGGTGGCGCGGCCACTGCCAATTGCCATGATGTCCACTGTGGGTGTATGTGGCCTGTTGCCAGTGTGACCCACAGGATTGGCAGTAGACGGCCGTAGCTCGGCACATCACTCCACACACACATTTCCACGGTTGCGCCATGCCTGTGGCGGGACCGGCAAGTTGAGCTCGCGCCCGGTCCAGCTGCGCAGGAAGGCTGCTTTGTGAATGGTGCCTCCTCAAAAGGGCACTGGCTCTGCTGGTCGCCGAGCTGAAAAGATCTCGGCGAGTAGATAGAGCCTGTCGCAACAACACCCTGGCCTCTGTGCGCTGCCTCCTCAGCCTCCGATGCCACGAGGGCTCTTGTACGGTACGGCGCAGCGGTCGGAATCTGGCCACCGTCTCCACAAATACAAAACCCAGCCCACAGTAAGATCCAAGTGGGGCAGCAAAATTGCATATAAAGAGAGCGCGAAATCTTCCCTGAAAAGGATCTCCAGAGAGACAGTATCAAATCCAGCCACCTAAGTGGGGATGAAGGGCAGTCCAACCTCCCGAAGGTACAGTTGGGAGCCGAAGTGGAGCCCCTAGCAAAGCTAGTCGGGCGATTGCAGCGGGCGTAGTTCGCCACGCGGGGTCACTGGCCCGGAGAGAAGGGACCACAAGGGAAACTACCTAACTCTCCTGCAGCCAAGACGCCTGGTTTAGGGTTTTAGGGTTTAGGGCTTTAGGGTTTTAGGGTTTAGGGTTTAGATGAACGTTTCACAGGGTCTCGTTGCATAATGGGTTATGGCAGCAATGTTGGCAGGATGTTGCGAGATTTTTCCCGGATGCGGTGATCTGCCACCTGGCGGCGATATTTCCAAAAAGAGACCACAGGTCCACAGATGAAACGCTGAGGTGGGATCAGAAGTGCTGATTTGCCAGAGGGGCGCCTCATTCCTGCGCCTGGCTACACCATGAAGGTCGCATTTAGTCCTATACTATACTATACTATGCTATAATATAATATAGTATGATATAATAATATATAAGTATAATATGATTATAGTGCTCGGAGCAGCGCCACGGGCTCGGGTGTAAGTGCATCAGACGACGCCTCGCTTTGTGCAGTCCACGGACACCCTCGTCGTTCTTGCCAAAGATGCGATGGCTGGCAGGTGCAGAGCTCGAAGCAAGTAAGCCGATTGTTAGCGCTTCGCGGTACAAGGATTCGTGCGTATGCATGTCCCGACTGACAGCGTTCTAGTGGGAGCGGCTTTGCTCAGGCGCTGCGTGCCACCGCTCGCAAGAAACGGAGTCTCCAACAATGTGTCTGTGTCATTGGGCTCTTGCGACTAGGCAGCAATCTTAGTGGAACATTGGAACAACCGCGGTGTCATGTCTCTCAGTCAGTATTTGGGGTGGGGCAAGTACAGGAGTACACCAGTAACGAAGCGCGGTACTATTGACTAAGCGGTAGTTTCAGCTGCGTGCTGCTTGTGTCCGTTTCGGCATGTGATGCATCATGTGCACGCAACCTAGGCTGCGCAGATGTCGCGTCAGCCTCAGCGAAAACGGTTCATCAGCTAGAGTAGCGCTTTCCGGGCAGTTTATGATGCCCAGACATGCAGCATTGATATTGCCACACGGTCTGCGGCGCCAAGTTGCGTGATGATGGACAGATCTGCTTGACAGCTTCCGTTGGTGGCCCCAAAGTCGTTCTGCTGTCCCTCGGCTCTATTGAGACGTCCATTACCTGGGATCTGCGTTCACTGGCACCTGACAGTTCAGTGCATCCGAGCGACCCCGCAGAGGTTTGGATGCCCTCCAGACTTCGTGGAAATTCTCGACATCATCGCAGCTAGGGTGAGCATTGGGATCGCATCGAAGACCCAGGAGGGGGATCACCAAGCGTGCGCTCTGCCTCTTCCATTCTGTCCTGTTGTGTGGGTGAAGCCTTCTGGATCTAAGGATTCCTACTTGGCACCTGGCAGCACCGTTCACATCCTTTCCAGGACGGCAGCTTGAAAGCGGCGCGATTCGTTCTCAAGACTCAAGCATGGCCCCTTTCATGGTCATTTTCGTCCCCTCTTCCCGTTGCTGTTCACTTCCCCTTGGCCTCGAGACCGGAGGAAGCCGAAAGACGCCCGCAACTCGATCATTCAGCAGCACTTGCTCTTCGGCCTGACTTGGTAGGTCGCAGCCGGCTTGCAGCACATGCGGAGTCGGAGTAAAAAACATGTAGCATGGGGACCTTAAGAATTAGAACAGGGATTTAGGGTATAGTATCCTATAACTATAATAAGGAGCCCCAAAACAATTAAAGGTAATTATTAAGGCCCCTATATTACTGTAGGCCATAGGATGCGTCAGTGTGCATGCGGCAGCAGCGCCGCCGAACATGATGCGACGACAGCCGGCCGGACGCTGTGCATTTCAGGCATTTGTCATTCTTTAAAGTTACAGGCCCTAAACCCTAAACCCTAAACCCCATTGGGCTGCCCCAGGAGACTATCCGGCCGCACGCAATTCGCTCGAATATCAGTCGAGCAGACACTGTGCCGCAAAGAAGCCTGGGAGATGGACCTGATAAAAGACCAACTCCAGGAAAAGCTGATTGCTGCTTTTCGGATGTACAGCCACCCTGAACCCCCAAACCCCATAACTGGTCCTTGTTGGATACAGTTTTACATTTGTGTTATGTTAAAACCCTAATAAGGATTAAACGTGATCATCTTTAACATGGCCCCAAAAGGGAACCAGATAATTACCCAGATGCAACAATTATGACCACATGCCTCGCCTGGGGGTTTGAGCATGAGCGTCGAAACCTTTACCCTAAACTCTCAGGTCATGTGAAGGTCAAGCATCATTACGTTGTCTTTTCTGCTGAGTTCCTGTTATCCGCCCTGCCAGGCACATGTCATGTCGGGGCCTGAATAATTACCAGTACTATTTTTGGGGCTCCTTCTTATATATAATACACAGCATAATGAGCCCCAAAGCTAGAGTCTAATTAATAAAGAGAGCGCCTTTAGTAACTTTAGTATGCTCAGAAAGGGCCCCTTGTTCCTCTCAAGCCCCAGTTTGGCAACACGCCCAGCACGAGCCAGAAGCTCTAAACCCGAACCCCATTGCTTCGCCTTCGTGAATCGAGGCACGAAGGAGAAAGCACCAGCAAGTGGGAGATGCAGAAGCTACCGTCTCCCGGCAAAGATTGAAAAAAAGCGACAAAGTTGGGTTTAGGGTCAGGGTTTAGGGTATGGGCACTGGAGCGGTTGAGCAAACTCTGGATGGGTGTTGAAGCTCTGTTAGATGCTGTCCATGAGGATCAGCAATTCCACTGATTTCTTGCGTGTTGCTATCGGTTGTTCTAGTTCTGTTTATAAGGCTTAAGGGCCAGTTCTGTTTAAGGCTTAAGGCCCGCTATAGTAACAACCATTGTTGCCAACCTTATCAGGGCATGGCTGGATCCTCAGGTGTCATGATCCGCTCTTGCAAAATCCTGTTCCGTCCTTACCTTACAAAGCGTGGCCAGCAAACATGCTGAGAACAGGCAAGTAGGTATTTGTAGACAAGTAAGCATGTACATAGCTACTTGCAGCAAAGCAGAGGCCCAGCATAGGCAACATAGGTACACCGATCTGCATGTTGGCATGGTCGGGAGATATCTGCATCTTGGATTGCTAGCCCTGATGGCAATGGTCATAGGTCGTGCTCGCAGCAGGCTTGATACAGCGAGCTGCGCTTTGATCCTCGCAGAGAGACTGACGGACGGGCTGCGGACAGAATTTCTACGGTTTTTGGAAGGCCAAGATGCCCCAACAAGGCTTTCAGGTGACTTCAGCTACCTGTACATGCTCCTGGTATACTTACAAGTTCACGACTCCCACATACTGTGTACTGCAACAATTACATAATGCTGCTGCTACTCCCCGGCTTGCTTGCTACAAGCTGCTTGCCAGCTTGCTTACTTACTGCCTTGCCTGCGTGACTGCTCGGCTACCGCCACTACCACGGCCATAACCAACATGAAGACGGCGACCGACAGGGAACAGGAGCATGAACACGCTGGCAAAGCAGGTTTCGTAGCTGAAAGGTTCCATGAAGATGATAATTCCTAAGCCCTAAACCCTAAGCCCTAAACCCTTCTGGTGTTGGCCTGGCAACAGTATGGTTCCTTGGTCTTGCACACTCTCCAGTTGTACACAACAGAGCTCCCTGCGGTGCGACTCAGTCAGCTGGGCGGCTGGGAAAAACCCTAAACCTTGCAAACCCTAGCATGTTTTGTTTGGTTTTCTGGTCATGCCTCCGTTTATCTGCTGTCAGCGGAGAAAAGCCAAGAGGAGTCGGAGTCGCCCCTGGCAGCTGATTCGCGGAACTTGACGACTGAGCTTTGGTGGCAGAAAGATGGGCTTGCTTCATTGCGGGCCAGCTTAGGGTTCTTTAGGGTTTAGGTTTCGTGCAGTATCCGTCGGTTTCGTTGCAGCTTCGGGGTCCTGCTTGGAGAAAGCACCGCAGCCATGGTTTGGGCCACTGAGCCCATCTGCCAAAGCAGCGCAGGCAATCATGGTCAAGCAGCAGCTGCTGGAGCAGAACAACGGAGGACATCCGACTTGAGTGGGTGAGTGGATGGGGGAGAAGGCTCCACGTTGATCAGAAGTGCATCTCCTGCAGGAGCATTGACCCGTGTGTTTACACAGCACACTCAAGATAGCTCTGCTGCTGGGCCGTGTGACTTGTGAATCGTATGAGCTGTCCAGCATATGCCTGACTGTTCTGGACGAAAAGCACGTGTCAGAGAGCGGAGCACTGAGGTTCTTAAGGGCAGCCGCCACAAGTGCAAGCTCGTCACAGAGTTGCTGGACCCGAAGAGCGACCTTGGGTCCTGAATCTAGTAGTTGGCCTCCCTCTCTCGGCTTTCCACGGTATGAATTTTGTTCGATCCCCTGAGCACGCGAGAGAGAGAGAGAGAGAGAGAATTTTGTTCGATTTCTGATCGCCGAGGAAGCAGTCCTCGCCAGCAACAGCAGTGTCAGGAGCCTCTGAGTGTAGCAGGGGGGGAGGGCCGGTTTCAGACCGGCATAGGACACTCTCAGTTCCTTGGCTTCTCCTCCTGTCCCGAGTTTCGTGCTCTTTGGAGCGAAACCTGCACCGCAAAACGACAAGAACCACAAAAAACAGCACAGCAACGACGGCTATCTTGACAGCCATCCTCGCGCCCTCCTTGGTGTGCTTCCGGAAGCTTTTGCCGTCCTCCACAAGCCCTGTCAGCAAATGTTTGTGCAAGAAGGTGAACCACATGCATTCATACCTTTGCATGCAGGTATCTGTATAGTGCATGCAGACATCTATCTGTCCGTCTGTCTGTCTGTCTGTCTGTCTATCTACCTATCTATCTATCTATCCATCCATCTATCATCATCTACCGATCTATCTGTCTATCCATCTGCGTATCTATCTAGATGTGGGCTTTTGCAAAGCCTTGAAGGAGTCAGGGCTCCTACGTGTACACATCCGCCCGGGAAACAGCTATCTACGCTGTGGCATCGGAGCGAAGCTCCTGGGTTGACTACTGGAGCCCAATACGTAAACTCTAAACTTTTTTTGGCATATTAAACCCCTATATAAAAGCAGACTTTAAATTTTTTGGGCATATTAAACCCCTATTTAAAAGCAAACCTTAAACTTTGTTGGAATATTACACCCCTATTTAAACGAAAAGTTTAAACTTTTTTGGGCAAGGGTACTGGGCAGCTAAGACGTCGGGTTTGCGGCTGTAAGGGGTTGAGACGATGCTCCCTGGTTCACTGGCGTCTCCCGGTAAGTTGCACTACTTAGGCTTTGAGGCTGGTTGGGGGTTGAGAGAAGCGGGCTGCAACAGGCTGTTTAGGGTTGAGACGCTGATCCAGGCAGCATGGGATAGTCTTCGCATTCTTGATCCAGTGCTCTGGAACTCTATTTCCGCTTGGGACAGGCCTTTGGTGCCCTAAACCCTAAACCCTAAAGGGCCTTTGGTGCGCGCAGAGCTTGGGACTCTTTGATCTTCTAGGCGGTTGCAGATAGACTCAGAGACTGCGAAGCGGGTGCCATGCCGGTAGCTGCTGAAAAAACAGCTCGGAGACATGCGGGAACAGGTAGGGCTGGAAGTAGCGATCCCGGGAGTTGCCTACATTCATGTTCATGTGCGTTCATGCTGGCTTTATGTTTGTCGCTGTATGTGTCTTTTGGCCGAGGCGATGTGTACGAGCTGTTGCTGCAGCTGAGCGATGCAGACTCAAACAGCGCGTACATCACTGCTGCTGGCCCAGTGCAGTCATACAATATCATTGATGGGGCTCACCACCGGCCGGTAGTTTTGCCATCGTTATCCTACTGGTCCTAACTGCCTGTCTTTGTCGCGTTAGGTTGCGCCTACGTCCCACTATGTAACTTCGTGACTTGGCTGCAATCAAAAAAGGAGAGAGGGCTCTGATGCAGTCAGTTTGGATGATCGGCACTTGCACTGCAGCGCACTCATGGCTCAGGATAGAAGACCTTTCGTTCTACGACTTGCAGCTGCGCGTTCTTGCTACTTGTGGAGGGTGGCCTGCCTTAACTAACCCGCGCCCGACTGTCGGAATGAGCTGTATGGCCCGCGACAGGATCTTGCTCGGATGGCGTGACTTCTCTGAGAGATATCCGCAGCTGAACCCGGATCGGAATCTCAGCAGACAGCGATTGATATGCTGCGGGCACTCAAGATCTTGAATGAATATTCCTTGTCTATGACTCTATCATGCGTACTCCTAGATCAACCTGTCGTACACACCTCCAAACCATTTGGATTTCGTAGAAATTTGTGGCCCAATCCTGTCCTGCTGGTGGTAGAAAAACCCGTGTGGCCCTAATCCATGCAATGCATAGCTTCTGTTCGAGTTGCTGGTGAGAGAGAACATTGAGGTTGTCCAGGTCTAATGACCATTTCGATTTTGTTCATGATGTGTTTAGGGTTGCGGAAGCCAAAACGGAAAGGTGAAGCCGCCCTAAGTAGCAGCCCAGGAAGCACGAGATCAGGGAGTGGTCGGTCCCGGCCTTACGTTGCTTGCAGCCACGACTGGCAAGTTGACCCCTCGGTTTAACCAACAGATATGGAGACAGGGGGTAGTTGATCCATGTTCTGCAACAACTTCTCCGAAAACCTTGAAAATGCCATCGTTAGCCCTGATAGCTGAGGACTACACGGACATTGAGCTGATTATCCTGCGGCACTCGGAGTCGTGCTTCAAGCCGACTGCCTGAAGGCCGTCAGGTGGCAGGCTATCGCGCAGAGTGTGTGCTTGGTGTACTTCGGCAAGGCGGTATCAGATTTCATGTCGGTCATGCTATGCTGCACAGTTATACGTCAGATTGGCAGTGTCCGTGTAATCACACTGCAGGACGTATTTGTGGGTTGAATCAGTGTGTTTTATTGAAGCAGGTGGCGCCTAGGGTGTTTGTTAATGAAAGTTCGGACAGAGGCTGGACCTTTGAAAGGTCGCGGTGTCCGCATGCATTGGCCCCGGCAGGCCCAAAGCTTGTCAGGGCAGGGTCTAGTCAACGCAAGGAACTTGCGATTGTGCACATCCCCAATTCGGCCTTCAGCAGGAAAGTGGTTAAGCTGCTGCTGAGACAGACGAGCTCATGAAGTGCAGGAGAGGTGGAAATGATGTGTTGCAGCATGTGGTCCTGGACTGTGAAAACCCCTGCCGCAGTCAAATCTGAACAGTGACCAGTGTGACCACAAAGAGTAGCGAACTCCGCAATCTGACCTTTTCTTGCCAGGCTCAAGTCCTTGAGGATTTTATCCCGCAGACACAGCGGCAAAGGGTGTTGCCTTGCCGCTGACTTTAAAAGCTCGGTGCATGAAAGAGCCCAGATACTCGTAGGTAACTGCGACCGAAGAGCCGGACGAAGCAACACCCACCTGAAAGGGGCAGGCTGTAGAAGGTGAAGCAAGAGTACTGAGTATCGTCAGGCTAAGCAGATCTGAATGCTTCCTGACCTCGTAATTGCCTCCAACAATCTTTAATCGTCCTGGCAGCAATGCTGCGAACCCCGGCGCCCTTAATGTAAGCAATACAATGCCATGCCCCAACATCAAAAATCCGACTTGTAAATCTAGCCATATGGATACTTCTCTGATCTGGGGCCCCTTTTGGGGGTCCTTTGCCGCCGTACTATTTTGGGGACCCTAATTTAGCGAACTACCCACATCATGGCAGCCGGCAGAGCTCTCTTTGCCTTTCCTTCGGCTGCAGGCTTTCTCGAATCTGACGTGATGTGCAAGACCTTGTGTGGAAAAACAGGGGCCCCACAGCGTTCCTTTCTGTTAGTTTAAAGGGGTTTCGGGTTTAGGGTTTAGAGTCTTACCTTAAGAGGGTACACTGCTCTCGTCGCCTGCGTTGAGAAGTGGCTATCTTCATGAGCTGGCCAGGCCACATCAATCCCTCCCTCCCACTCTGCCGGACGCTTGTTGGCATCTGAGGGAGGCCCTTGGGCACCCCTTCGCCCAAGCTGTGAGAGTCGATTCAGAGTCGATATCCTCAGAAGGGCGCACAATTAGTAGAGTTTTCATGTGTGGCCGAGATGAGACGTTGATGAGTGTTATGATTAAGATTCCTATCATTATTATTGCTACAACTTACTAATGAATAGAATTGTTAGTATTCTTCTTATTATTGTTGTTGTTCTTATTATACATTGGTCCCCACCGCCTCTCCAAAATCCTGGATGCAGGGTTTCAGTATGCACCAGTTTGAGTATTGCACTCGTGTTAGTCTGTTCTGTCCAGCTTCGCCGACGAGGCGCTTGGTGGACTTGGGTTGGGAGGTCGTCTACTTGGGAATACCGGAATTTCGAGATGCGATCGCTGCAGCGGGTGGAAGTTTCTCCGACTTGAACGAGTTGGGGAAGGAGTTTGGGATAGACGCTGGTCAGAACTGCTATGACCATGAGTGGAAATGAGCATCAACTAAGGAAGCCGGCATTGCTAACACTAAGACTGCCCAGCACAACTTTGATGTCGCTATGCTTTTGCCATGCTTCTACAGCTGTTGAACATGTGTCGAATGGTCCTGTGCATTTAGGAAGATGTCAGGGGCATGATTGTTGGCACTCTGGCAGACTACGGCCCCGATGCTCGGGCATGGGCCCTGAATTTCGGCAGCATTGCCCTCCAGAAGCTCCGCGGCATGCAAAGGGAAGCATTCGGAAGGGTGTTTGGGTTTAACTCGTCAGTTTACATGTGTAGGGAGGCTTTGGAAATGCTGCATCTGTCGTAACCATTCCCTGCAAGGCTGCTACCGATGTACATTTCCTTTCTGCAGCGCTTGGCTCCGCAACTGGTGGTCTACTGCCCTGTGACTGACCCGCAAAACGTTTTGGCATACAAAAAACGAACCCTACACCCCAATCTGCCTTCTACTGTGTAGATTCCCGAGCTAGAACCTATACGGAAAAAGGCCCCCAAACAAAAAAACAACGCGGACTTGTCCTGCTCCAACGGGCACTGAGCAGAAAGGCGCCCCAGGTGGTACTTGCAGTGGTGGTAATGAGGATGGTACTTATTTCTGTTTGTGTGAGCCTGTATGTCAAATGTCTCGTCAACAAGTATAGTAGACACGGAGATCGTAGATGTTCGACTGAACGAGCATGTAGAGATAGCCGAGTCTTTGCCGAGGTGCTATCGCAGGTTGCCCACCTTGCTGCTGAGCCGTTTGGCCGCACCTGTGACAAGGAATGCGACGTGTTACGACCCTCACCTTCCCTAAGCCCTAAACCTCTGGGCCGGGGTCCGTGCGTTTGCTGGCTATCAGATTTGAAGCGTATCACGCCGACCCGAACCTGTGAGACCTCGCTTGGCTAGTCCGAGTTGAGAGCGTAAACCCTGAACCCTAAACCCTGAACCCTAAACCCTGAACCCTAAACCCTAAACCCAAAACCATAAACCCTAAACCCTAAACGTTAGGGGTTTCGAGCCTAAGGCAGCCTAAGGCACCTGAAGATTCCGGATGTCTCGCTGCTCACCGCAGCCGGGCCAGGCCAAGGGAGATCGATCTGCGAAAGAGGGGTCTGCCGAATTCGAAAATCAAATCCCCTCTCGTCACCCCAAAACCTCATTTCGTGCTTTTAGGCTTGATGGTGGCAGCCCCCCCCCCCCAAGTCACTCTCTAGTCTAGTGCACAAGCAGCTCAGAGGCCGCGCAGCCAAACATCGGCAAACGAACCAAAGCTTGTACCCAGAGATCCCAATACCCCTTAATTAAGGAAATATACCGTAAATTATAGGGACCTCAATATTTTGATTTAAGGTATCTTCCTTAATTAAGGGGTATTGGGCTCTGGGTACCGTCTTTTCAGAACCGCAAGTAGAAGCTGAAGGCCTGGATGGCAAGACACTGGAACATGAGAGTGCGTATGTATGCGCGGGTTGTTATGTCTCGTCTTTTGCCGGAAACACCTTCAAAATAACTCATGAGAGACGAACAGTCGTTGCCGTGCCAATTCCCGGAGCTAGGAAGCATGCCGGGAGTAGTCACGTGGGTATACAGAAGGGTGCCGTACTAGTTTGGGGACCTAGAGAGGGACCCTACTTCAGAGAACTACCCATGTAGAACCCTTACAGTACCCTCTCCAGCCCTTGTAGCTCCCTGTAAGATCTTTAAGGAACCCTAATTCAGAGATCTCCCCATATATAACCCTTACAGTATCCTTTATCGGAACCCTTACAGATCCCTGCAAGGAACACCAAAAGCGATTCTGACTTAGAGAACTACCCACATACAGCCCAGCCTTGGCTAGGATACTGGGACGCAGCCTTTGCAGCACACGGCGGCTCAGCGGAAAGCCTCGCTGCGACCTCAGTGCCATCGGACAGACTTAAGCTCCGGGCCCTACAGCCCCAAACCACCTCCCCTGGACCGTCCGTGAGCCGGGAAGCCCTGAACCTAAGCCTTGGGGATTTTGCACCCGACTTGGGCTTTCCAAGAGGGAAGATCTCTCTGGGAGGTCGCTGCAATCAAGCTCAACAGCGCCAACTCCGCAGCTGTTGAAGGGGTGCGTTCGGTGCTGAACCGCCCAGAGCTGTCTCTGAACACAGCCGAGCCGCTTGTGAATGACTACTACACCACGGTGAATTTGGTGACCACCGTCCCCTTCCTGGCCGACAAGTTGAATGAGTGCCGAGGCTGCCTTGGCATTGCAGGCTTTTCTCGTCTGGAGCGCTGCAGCTTGTCCTGGCTCGTAGGTCTTCCCGTCGGCGGTTTCATACCTTGAAACCTTCCCACCCATGACATCCCAAGCCACATCGAAGCAAGCTGAAGTAAGCCAAACCGGCATGCACAAACGTGGGTTCTCTTCCCCCTTTAGAGATTTGTTGATGTGACACCTAAGAAACCTCGCCGTGAGCTTTGATCTCTGTATCATGCTTGAGGGAAAAATAACATCCCTTCGGCCGGGGGTACCTGGAAAATGTCCGAGACCGCGCCTTTCCCGCTGAGGAAGGACGCCTCCTTCTATGAGTCGGCCGGGAAGAAGTTCGAGTTTGTTGGCCCTCTTCTCGCTCCAGAGCTGGCTGGCTCTGAGCCACTGGGAGCCACGGAGAGGCGGGGTTTGCGCAGTGACCTGCAGTCGAAGAGCAGCTTCAACCAATTCGCCTTAAGCTTTGTGATTTGAAAGCATCAGCCCCCCAAAACCCTAAACCCTGAACCCAAACGCCTAACCCTGCAATGCGAGCTCGTCCAAGCTAAGTGGGAGGGAAAAAACCCTAAGCTCATGAGCTGGCTAATGGCTTGTCATTGCCTTTGTCATAGTTTGCCCCAACGACCCTGCAATGCGGGTTCGTCCTTGCTATGTGGGAGGGAAAAACCCTAAGCTCCTATCCCCCAACGCCCTAATTGAAGATGGACTGAAGCCAAACACCCTTCCTAGACCTAGACCCTGAGCCCCGGGACTCTTCCTACCTTGAAACCGAGAGGCCAAGAACCCTCAAAAATCACTAGGTACTATGATTACTCTTACTTCTGCTTCTTGGTATTCTTATTGCTACCTACTATTACTAGAATTCTTAACTAGATATTGGCATTATTGCTCGAATTTTTAAAGTAGATGCGCTTGAGGTCGACGGAGCTCTTGGGAAGGATCGATGCAGCCATCCTGCAGGGACAGGAGGCATTTAGGGTTCCTTTAGGGGTAATTACGGCGGTTTAGGGTTTAGGGTTTCGGTTGTTCGTAACAGGGTTTAGAGCCCAGGTTGCAGGAGTTACCATCGATGGAAGCGTTGGAGTGCCCTTGCAGCTGAGAGGTGCTGTACGTGTCTATGGGCACAGTCCTCACGAGCAGCCATGCTGACTTTGGCTGGGCTGGCACTGCCGGCAGCGCCATCACAGGGTCAGCCGGCAAGCTTAACGAGCCTAAACCCTAACCCCTAAACCCTAAAAGCAGGGCTCAGTGTGGAAAGCTTATTGGGGTTCTCTCTCCGATCTGCTCCTTGCAGCACCTACATCCTAAACCCTGCATAACTCCTTAATACTTAACCAAAATCCGTGAGCCAACAAACAGAACCCCACAGCCTGTCTTAGGCACACAGAAGAAGACAATGATCAGCACAGTTTACCACCAAAGATCAAAGAGAGTGTGTTAAGAAGCCCAAACCTTAACACCTCAACCCCAGCCTAAGCCCTAAACCCTAAACCCTAAACCCTCACCCTCACCTCAACTGACCCTAAACCCTAAACCCTCAACCCTGAACCCAGCCCTTTCAGGAAGGAGATGTGCAACGCCATTTTCCGCTGCCTTTTCAGTGAGCTGGCTTCGACCCAGCTGATGAACCCGGCTCCCTTGATCATTGTTTCCACAGGCCCAGCCCGTGATGGAATTCAGGGCTTCAGGGTTTTTCAGATTTGGATTTCTCGACCTGACTTGTGGTTTTAGCTGGTCTATAAGAAGATTTTGACTCGGAAACTAATGAATGGAGTGCTTCTTTGTGAAAGTTTTCGCACCACAGGAGCATACTGGAGCATAGTAGCGCCATGCTTCTACCGCCTCTGGGCTGGCCCTGGAATAGATTCAAAATCCATCGCTTTTGCTGTCAGTGTTGATGCCAGCATGCCATAGATCCGGTCAGCTCGATTCCGAAAATAGACCCTGAACCCTAAACCCGTGGCAGGCTTTCGCATCTAATTTAGTAGCAAAGTAACATCGCTTGTGAGCATCGCACTCAGCCATGCGAGAGCGAAAAACCGTGCAGGTTCGCAGCCCGATGCCTTGGAAGGCATCGAAGTCCCAACGAATGCGTTCTGCGCTCCGAGTTTGCCACAGGCGAGGCACTAAAGTTGCCACGGGCACAGCTTAGAAGATGTGTCAGTATTGCTACTCTGATTGGATGTTATTGGTATAATTTTGATACATCTTATACTTTTCATTGTTGTGGGTATTACCATGGTTATTGCTCATGAAGCTAGTGCTGCTATGAGTATGACATGCTATGCATTCTGCTTCTCAGCTTGCCTCCAACTTCATGTGTGGTCTGCAAGAGACTCAGCAGATCTCAGCTGTCTTGTTCCTCCAGGTCGAAGTCCTACGCAGAGCGAAGGCAGCCCTCTTCGTCACACATGCCGGTGGTACCCCCAGATGGGGGGTTTCGGGTTTGGGCTTGGGGCTTTTCCAGTGCAAGACGAAACAGACGCAAAAGCGAGGAAGCACCATGAGCCCCAACGGTGAAGATAAGATCGGCTTCTTCACGTCCACCCTTCCTTCAACCCTAAACCCCTAAACCCTAATGCCTGTTCAACCACAGAAACCTCGCTGGTGGGCATAGATCTCAGCCATGCGAGAGGGAAAGCAACCGAAACCCCCAAGGCCAGAACTCATTCATGGAGTCCCTGTCGGCTTCTTGGCAAGAGCTCAGAGGCTTAGCATGATGTTCGGAGGTACCCCAAATCTTGCGAACCCCACCCCCCTTTATGGAAGACGAAGCTCGAAGCACCATCGCAGACCAGGTCGGGACTCCTGTGCTCTGCTGCCCCGGGTTTGGTGACCAGCTTGCCACAGCTGCGAAGGCAAGCGATCAGAGCTCTCCTCTTAGAAGCATTCTTGGCTTTTGTTAGAAGCACTCTTCTTGGCTTTTGTTAGAGGCACTCTTTGGTTGTTCCTTTGTTGTCTTTAGCTGTGCTCTTGTCGTTAGTTGACTGAAGTTACTGATGGTATCATGCGTACTCTCCTTCTTCTCTCTGCTTGGTTGTAGTAACCCTAAACCCTAAATCCCTA